GAAATGACTGATAGATTTAAATACATTAAGTTGATTTTTTTTTGGTCTTTTTGAGACAGTCTCTCTGTAGCCCCAGCTGGCCTGGAACTCACTATGTAGACCAGGTTGGCCATGAACTCAAGTGCTGGGATTAAAGGCATGTACCACCATACCCAGCTAATCTTGTTTTTTAATTTTTTAATATTTTATCATTTTTATTTTTATTTTATGTGTATGAGTGTATTACCTGCATGTATTGCGTGTATGTAAGTTAAGTGCACCTGTGTTGTGCAATGCCCTTGGAGGTCAGAAGAGGGTATTGGATTCCCTGGAACTGGAGTTATGGATGGTTATTAGCCTCCATGTGGGTGCTGAGAATCAAACACAGATTCTCTGCAAGAGCAGCCAGTGCTCTTAACCACTGAGCCATCTCTCCAGTCACTAATCTTGGGGTATTTTTATGTGAGGAAAAATAAATGGATAATCTTGATGTTGCAGGTGCTGTGTGCAGAGTGCTGAGACACCAAGGCATTTCTTTTCTGCAAGAAATAGTTTATTGTGCTAGCCCCTGGCTCCATGGGTTTGTACCCCAAAGGCGGAACATCAAAAGTGCTTTTTGTGGGTTTTTTTTTTTTTTGAGACAGGGACTCCATATAGCCCCAGCTACTTGCTATGTAGACCAGGATGGTCTTGAACTCACAGAGATCCACCTGCTTCTGCCTCCTGAGTGATGGGGCTAAAGGTGTACACCATCAGGCCTGGCTACACCCAGTCATTTATACCTCATTTAGTTTCCCTTTACAGTTCAGTTTCTTTGTCTCCCCTCTAAGGTAACACAGGTATCCTAATTGGGTGCTCCATGCTGCAAGGTCATGACAGGCAGAACTATGTGTGTGCACAACCCATGCTGCATTCCTTTTCCTTTGTTCTGGGCATTTCTACCACATTGAGACACATTTGCAAGAGCAACTAGGGATTAATGCTCTTACACTTAAAAAAAATTGGGGGGGTCTTTTTGAGACAGGGTCTCCCTGTAGCCCCAGCTGACCTGGAACTCACTATGTAGGCCAAGCTGGCCTTGAACTCACGGAGATCTGCCTGACTCTGCCTCCAGGGTGCTGGGATTAAAGGTGTGCACCACCACGCCTGGCTTAAAATTTTATAAAAAAAATTTTTTTGGTCTTTTTGAGACAGGGTCTCCCTGTAGCCCCAGCTGGCCTGGAACTCACTATGTAGACCAGGCTGGCCTTGAACTCACAGAGATCTGCCTGCCTCTGCCTCCCGAGTGCTGGGATTAAAGGTGTGTGCCACCACCCAGCAAATATGGTAAATGAAATGTAACTGGTCAGGATACATATATAAAAATATTCATCCACACTAGAAGTCAAATGAATATAATGGATTGGCAATGCAGTTCACTCAGTAGTGATTTCCTAGCAGGCGGGAAGCCTGAGTTTGAGTCCCAGCACACAGGAGCAGGTGTGGTTGCCCACCCTGTAATTCCATTACTCTAGAGGTAGAAATAGATAGTTCTGCATGGTGGTTCATGCCATGGAAGGAGGAGGATTGTGAGTTTAAGGCCAGCCTGGACTATATAGCAGATCTGCTTATCTAAAAACAAACAAACAAAAACATTTTTGAGATGGAGTCTCCCTGTAGTCCCAGCTGGCCCGGCAGTCATTGTGTAGATCAGGCTGGCCTTGATCTCACAAAGATTTGCCTGCCTTTGCCTCCCAAGTGCAGTAACTAAAGGCTTGTGCCACTACTCCTGGCTTCAACCAGTTATTTTTACATTTTCTATAATGGTCATCTTTTCTAATAAATATATGTATGTATGTATGTATGTATGTATGTATGTATGTATATACATAGTTGTGGGGGATAAAGGAGAACAGGGCTACAAAATACAAAATGTCAGTCAGGGTGTAAAAGTGCTTGCATTGTAAACCTGGTAATCTGAGCTCAATTCCCAGAACCCACATAAAAAAAGCCAGATGCAGTGGCAGGCACATCTGTAATCCCAGCATTCCCATAGTGAGATGGAAGGAGACTGGGAATCTCTGGAAGTTCTCAGGCTAGCTAGCCTGGAGAATGCAGCCCCCAGAAACAAGACAGATTGACTCAACAAGGTCAAAGGAGAGACGGACTCTCAAGAGTTGTCCTCTGATCTCTACATGCACTGGATATGTCAGAGAGAGAGACAGAGAGACAGAGACAGAGAGACTAATCATCACCATTATCATCATTCAGGCCCTGGAGAGATGGTTGATGGTTTGTAGATTAGGAGTGCCTGTAACAACTGTAACTGTAACTCCAGTTATAAGGGATCTGACCCTCTTCTGGCCTCCACCATCACCTGCATGCCCATGGTGCATAGAAACCCACACAGGCACACACACAAACACAATAAAATAAAATACTTTTTTTTGTCTTTTTGAAGCAGGGTCTCCCTGTAACCCCAGCTGTCCTGGAACTCACTATGTAGATCAGGCTGGCCTTGAACTCACAGAGATCCACCTGCCTCTGCATCCCAAGTGCTGGGACTACAGGTGTGCGCCACCATGCCCGGCATAAATACATTTTTAAAAATCCAAAATGAGCGGGGCCTGGTGGCATATGCCTGTAGTGCCAGCACTTGAAAGGCAGAGGCGTGAGTTCGAGGCCAGCCTGGTCTACATAGTGAGTTCCAGGCCAGCTGGGGCTACAGGAAGACTCTGTTTCAAAAAGACCAAAATAAAAAAAAAAAAAATCCAAAATGACAAATGTCTGCAATGGGGACAACAAACTGCTATTTCAGTCACTCTGGGTAAAATCAGGGGACTCTCTGGACTTTGAAGACGCCACAGGTGCACAGGGGTCACCATTTCTCTAATTCTCTATCCTGCAGCAATGACAATGTCTTCAAAACATAGTGTCAAAAAGCATCTGGATCCAGAGCAGTCTCTAGACCACATCCGTGCACACAGGGCAGCAGGTCGGCCCCCAGCCTGCAGTCCCAGGCCTCAGTTCTAGCATCCCCATGTTCACACACCCTGGTGCCTGGTGAGTGCTTCCGGTGCTTGCTGTGGGCTTGCCCCTGGGCCTGCTGGAGTCATACATGTCCACCCATGCCCCTTGCCCAGGTCTACTTTTGACTTTTCACAGAGAAGGCAAAGGACATTAAGACTTCCCTTCCTCCCCTGACTGAAAGCATCAGATTGACACTTTGTGTCACTTTGCTCAATCTGTAAGGACTCTTCATAATCTCTCACACTGAGTCCCCTTAACTCTTGCCCACCTTGCAGCTTTTATGTAATTTCATTGATGGTTTTCATTGGGTATCCCTGATACTGTGAAAAAATGTTTCCAGAAAGAAACTCTATCTTGAGGCTTGGAGAGATGGCTCAGCGGTTAAGAGCACTGACTGCTCTTCCAGAGGATGTGGGTTCAATTCCCAGCACCCACACGGAAGTTAACAACTGTCCGTAACTCCAGCGCCTTCTTCTGACCTTCATGGGCATTGCACAACATCAGTGCACTTACATGCATGCAAGCAATACACTCATACACATAAAATAAAAATAATAAAATAGTAAAAAAAAAAAAAGCTAACTCTTCAGCTGAACCTTCTTCAAGGCCTGCCACACCTGTCTGCCTAACATTTCCACCAAGGTGTTTAAAACTGTGTTCATTTGCTGGACATGGTGGCACACAGTTTTAATCTCAAGACTTGGGAGGCAAGAGGAAGGTGGATCTCTGTGAGACAGAGGACAGCCTGTTCTACAAATTGAGTTCCAGGCCAGCTGGAGCCACAGGGAGACCCTATCTCAAAAAAAAAAGTGTGTTTATTTAGTCTCAAGTAAAATTATTATTCTGGGGGTGGGGCATGTGTGCACACATGGGATACACATGTGGAGGTCAGAGGGCAGCTTTCAGGACTTGAGTACCACCATGGCTTCAAGCTCTCCAGGCTTGCATGGCAAGCACTTTTTAAAAAACATTTTCAAATGTTTATTTATTATTTATTTATTTAGGTATTTTTGAGACAGGGTCTCCCTGCAGCCCCAGGTGGCCTGGAACTTGCTATGTAGTACAGGCTAGCCTTGGACTCACAGAGATTCACCTGCCTCTGCCTCCCAAGTGCTGAGATTAAAGGGTATGCCACCAGGCCAGGCAAAAATGTTTATTTTTAATATATATATACACATATTTGGCAAGTTTACTGCTTATATTAAGAGTCTAACAATGTAGAGTCTGCTTTTTGGGTCTTGGGTTGTTGTTTTTCTCTTCTTCCTAGGTGACTGATAAATATTACTTTTTAAGAAACTGTCTTTCCAGGAACCAGAGGCTATAAATCCCTAATCATAACACTTTCAAATACCAAATACTTCTATGTTGCAGGAATTCCCTGCAGTAGGAGGAGGAAGAGATTTCTGCGCTATTTTCAGTAAATTTAAGCATGGCATAATAAAAATTAACTATAAGTGTTAGGTATCTTAGTAAATACACTTAATTGTGTTCGCTTTGCTTTGACTCTGCAATCAATGACTTACCTATTTCCATAAACTTTTTAACAACTGAAGCATCATTATAAACTTCACTTTTTCAAAACTAGCTCTCCATCCATAGAAGATTTTAAAGAACCCACCAACCAAACTCATCATTTAACAGACAACTAAACAGCAGTCTTCATGAATGCAATTTTTCTTCACAAAACAGCATGCTGTCAAAGAGTGTGAACGTAAAGGGAATGCCATCATGCTAGGTAACGTGATGGAAAAATCTAGGTGTTTTCTAAGGTAAGGCAAAGAGTTTAATATTTATGTAATCAAAGTCCAAATAAACCTTTCTTCAGCTCACACTGGGCCACCTTTCTACCCAAGCACTCCACGCTCTAGGCTCTGGCCCAGGCTGTGTTACTACGCCATGCGTATGAATGTGTTGATGTTGGACTCGCCCCTCCTGATGTCCTTGCGCTTGATCAGCCACTTGATTTGCTCTTTTATCATTTCCTTGTGTGGTAAGAACAAGTTTTTCAGAATTCCTACTAATTCAGTCTGCAGCTGAGCGTTGCTAATTTTCTTTCTTATTTTCGTTTGTATGATGGCTTCCTGGCTTCTTAATAGGCTTAGTTGGACTATTCCTTCATTTTCTTCCTCTCTCATTCTTTCTGTAGTGAGCTGCAAGCAATCAATCAAGTTGATTTTTCCCTTTTTCTGAACTTTAGCATTTTTTATTAAACTGAAGTCCTGGTTCACTGAGAAGAAAGTGCTTTTTGTAAAGTCTTTGGGTGAGCTGACTTGAGGTTCGTACAGCAAAACTTGCCATTTGAGCTGGGGAAAAGTTACTAAAGGCCATAAAGTCCTTCTAAGTTCAGCATCAGGGAGTTCAGTTTGCAAGTTTTAGGTTTTCAAAGCTGATTTTCTCTCTGGGTCTTTAGTTCCATGCAAATAACATAGCCAGCTGCAATATGGTTACTTCCAAATCGTACTGACCTACTCATTCTTAAATTCCATTTGATATGAGATGATGTCAATGTAATTTTCTACCACTATGATTTTTTTTAAAAAACTCTTCTACTTCAGGTATCAAATCCTCCAGTTCAGTAGAAATGAGGCAAAGACTTTCTCAGAGCTTCTAGACCAGGCAACAGCATTCAGAATTTTTATATTAACTGAATCAGCTGGTAAAGACAACTTATTATTTTTGTGGTTCAAGTCTTCAGATACTTTGATGTCCCAAAACATTCCAGCAAGTTTGTTCACATAATCTGCTGGCATGTTGATAGAAGTCATCAGTCAAATGAGCTTTGTGATGCTTCATAAAAACATCTTTGTTCTGTACATATTAAGTGCCAAGAGCACTTCTTTAAGCTTTGCTTCAATCTCCTCAGAGGTTAGTTTTTTGCTTAATGGTGTTTTTCTTAGCAACATGTCACAGTAATTGGCAAGCAACTCAGGGCATTTGGATTCAGGTTGAATTTTCAACCCCCACTCCTTTTTGCTTCATAGATAATCCAAGTTTAAATATGGTAGCATCATTAAATGCTTTATATACCTTATCTCTTGCAGTAATTGTGGATCATCTTGAAAAGCTTCTTTAATGAGTTTACTAAATCTATTAAATAGTATAAGTAATTGCTCAACATATTTCAACAGCTGCATGGGAAGCACTTCTACTCTCTGAGCCATCTGCCTGGACCCAAGTAAAACTATTTTTGAAAGGTAAGTTTTCTATAGAAAATCAAGTGTAAGCAGGAAGCATGGGTTACGTGTCTATTTTTTATTCCCTACAACTCCTCTACAGTTGTATTCTTGAGCCTATGAGATGGCTCAGTGGGTGAAGGCACAGGCCACCAATCTTAAATACCTGAGGATCCACATGGTATCAATCTATTTATTCTCTCTCTCTCTCCCTCTCTCTCCCCTCTCCCCCCCCCCATTTGGTCCCTTTAGTGACCTCTAGGGATGCCAGCTTTTATTCAGATCTGGTAGTGGCTGGAGGAGTGAGCACTCTGCACACACAAGTAGTTGATCTGGCTGTAGGGCAGCAGAGAAATAAGTGGTATTTCTGGGGCAGGTGATAGGGCAGCAGGCGGGAATATAAGGAGGTTCACAAGGCTAAACACAGTCCCTGTGCTCTAAATACCATTCTTTTTGTTTTGTTTGTATGTTTTGATTTATTTTATTTTTGAGACAGGGTTTCCCTGTAGCTCCGGGTAGCCTGGAACTGGCTATGTAGACCAGACTGGCTTGGACCTCACAGAGATTCACCTGCCTGTCTCCCAAGAGCTGGGATTAAAGGTGTGCACTACCATGCCTAGCTAAATCCTGATTCTCATCTGTTTAACTGTCTTCATATTTAAATCTATCCAAAAGATTGTGTTCTATTTTACTTTTTGAATTCTACATTGGATTGCATAACATGTATTATATTTTACTTACCAACACACTCAGTGTACATACATAGTACTTCTGACCAAGATGAACACTGTCTCTCCCTAATCCTGGTGAACTCTGATTCATCAAAGAAGGACTATGCAGCAGTATGCTTATTTGACTCTAGGTCAATTTGTAAAAGAAAAAAAAATTACAGAAAGTTATTTCCAGAATGAATTTTTTTTCAAAATCTAATTTGTTAAAACTAAGTTCTATAAAGTTATAATTTGAACTGTCAAGGCCTGTTAAAAAGTTGAGCTCTGTTCATACCTCAGCCTTTGAGAGCTGAGTCTAAGTATACAAAATAGAAGTGAAGGATAAGCTCCACTGAGGAAACTTTTACTGTTGGGGCTGGAGAGATGGCTCAGAAGTTAGGAGCACTTGCTGATCTTGCAGAGGACCTGGGTTCAGTTCCCAGCCCCGACTGGATGACTCATAGCCACCTGTAACTCCAATTCTAGGGGATCTGATGCCCTCCTTTGTCCTTCAGAGGCACTGCATGCCCATGGTACACATACATACACTCAGGTACACACACATACACATAAAATAAATAAACCTTTGAACAACTACACTGCTTGTATTTTAAATGGCTGGAGTAGAGTCAAAGCCAAAGTTTAGGAAAAATGTGACGGACTTTTGACTGCTACAAACAAGCAGAGATTTTTAAAAAATGGTTTTATTTCATAAGTCTAGAGATAGCCAAGGGTTAGTGTTGTGGTCAGCAGCCTAACAAGGTGGAGACTGGCATCCCCATGGTTCTCTTATGTAGTCCAGGCTAGCCTCAAACTGTCTTTGGAGCTGAGGCAGGCCCTGTCCTGATCTTCCTACCCCCTTTTCAAAGGCTGAGCTTATAGGCATAAGCCATAATTCCTGGCTCAAGTCAAGAAGTTTCTACCAAATTTTTTTATTTTTATTTTTTTGATATTGGGTCTCATTCTCTACCCCAGGCTACCCTGGAACTCACTCTATAGGCCATGCTTTATAGGGATAATCATGGTGATCCTCCTACCTCAGTGTCTAGAGTGCTATATTATAGTTGTGAGCCATCACACCTCACAACTATAATTTAAAGCCAGGCATGGTGGCTCATGCCTTTAATCTCAGCACTCGGGAGGCAGAGGCAGGCAGATCTCTATGAGTTCAAGGCCAGCCTGGTCTACATAGGGAGTTCCAGGACAGCTGGGGCTACAGGGAGACGATGTCTCAAAAAGACAAAAGAAAATTATAATTTAAGCTGGGTATGGTGGTACAAGCCTTTAGTCCCAGCACTTGGAAGACAAAGGCAGAGAGATCTCTGGGAGTTCAAGGCCAACCTGATCTACAAAGGGAGTTCCAGGTCAGCCAGAGCTACATCGTGAGTAAGACCCTGTCTGAAAAACAAAACAAAAACAAATAAAAAGGATTATAATTTAAAATGAGTTCTGGGTCTGTTTGAGACAGGATCTCCCTGTAGCCCCAGCTGTCCTGGAACTCACTACGTGGACCAGGTTGGCCTTGAACTCACAGAGATCCGCCTGCTTCTGCACCACCACGTCTGGCTGCTCTCAGATTTTTTAACAGATGCATTTCAATGACATTGATTTTTTTTTTCTTAAGTTTCCCCCTTAACATTCTAGAATGGTACAAAAATTAAATTTCAAGAAAGGGTGGAAAAAAATCAAAAGATGAACAGTGACAAAACAGGTTCAGCCTCACTTCTGCTCAGTCACTGCCCTTCCACACCAAAGAGCATCTGGAAAACCTCCCCACATCCACTGGCATTTAAGAACTGGTACAGCTGACCAAAGTCCATGTGATTTCCCCTAGCTCCATGGACACTGAACACTTTTTCTTCGAAAGTGGAAAACTTCTGTTGTCTTTCCATTTCGTTGGTTGTACCATCAACAGAAATATCTTCTCGATGGCGAATTAAAATTCGCTTCCAGTTTAATTTTCTGAGTCTGAAAAAAAATTCAAAATAGAAAATTTCAGGATACATATTCTACAGCACTGAAAATAGAATTTATAAAATACATTTATCAATTTCTTTTCCTATCAGAAGTAATTTATCATTGTACCAATGGCTCTGTTCATGATTCCATCTGCAAACTTATTTCCATTATTACTGCCTTAAATCTATGTCATACCTTATTTTTTAAATTAATTATTTATTTTTGTCTTTTTGAGAGTCTCCCTGTAGCTCCAGCTGGCCTGGAACTTGCTATATAGACCAGGCTGGCTTCAAATTCACGGAATTCACAGAGATCTTCCTGCCCCTGCCTCCCGAGTGCTTATTTTATTTATTTTATTTTATTTTATTTTTATTTGTTGTTATTGTTTTTTGATAGGGTCTCCCTAGCACCAGCCTGCCTCGAAATCACTATGTGGACGAGGCTGGCCTTGATTTCAGAGATTCTGCCTCCCATTATTTTACTTTTTAATATAACATTTATTTTTGCAATAGGGTCTCCTGTATCACATATTGGCTTTAACTCAATATGTAGCCAAGGATAGCCCTGAACTACTGATCCTCTTGCCTCGACCTCCAAAGTGCAGAGATACAGGCAGGTGCCACTATGCCCTGCTTACACGGTGCTGGAAATGGAACCCAAGGCCTTGTGCATGCCAAGCAAGCATGCTACCAACTCAGCTTCAGCCTCAGCCCTGGTTACCTGTATTTTAGAATTAAGGAAGTTCTCAGAAACAATATTATCAATAGAGCATTAATGATTTTATCAATGAGAAGACTAGTTGCAAGCCTAATGCTTCCAGAAAGCAGGATGAAACCATGTCATTAGTTAGGTAAGGGAGGAATCAGATTCATGAAAATTGATAGGATCCTACACAGCATCCAGAGCAGGGGATTCATTCACATGTGTTTACAGCATGGCTGCTGTGCATGCTGTGTTAGGTGAGGAGGGTGATGCTGACTGTGTGTGATTTCTGCTTTACCACTGACCTTAGACTGAACCCCCATGAAACTATACCCCATGAAACTATACCCTCTGGAACATACTTATTTCTACATCACTATTATCGTCTTTCAAATTATGTATATA